GGGAGAAAGAAAATTTTGATTTTTCTGGGTGATTTATGTAATCACAGGGAAATAATCGTAACTTCCCGTTTCGCACGTAGTGGGACAGTTTTTTTGTGGTTCCAGGCTTTGTACACAGCTTACACAGTCATGTTCATTGTTGAAATTTCCTTTTAGGACAACTTCAGGGGTCACAAAACCGCTGAACCGCTGAACAAAGCGTGCACTTTCCTAGCGATATATGGGAGTTTGTTAAAGCTGGTTTGTTTGCTTAAACGTGCAGTGTGGGAGGCGGGCCTCGGCTGGTATGGGCTGCCCTGTGAGGCTAGCTGGGTCTTCCGTATTGGTGTAACCCGATTCCAGGCCCACATGGGCCAAAGTAGCGGCATATTTTGCTTTTGTTGATGGCAATTTTTCGTTTTTCTTCTCAGGGGATCGATCTCTTTTTTTCCCACGGCTAGTGGTCTAGTTAATGAAGCGGAAACAAGTTGGAGAAAGGAACGGAGCAGAGGCTGCTGATTGAACATCACTTCTCGCCCCAAAAATGTTCATTTACTGAAGAGCTTTGAACTGATACTAGGGGACGGGTCCCCTATCAAAAAAATAGCTATGTTTAGATGGGGTTCAGAAGAAAATCTAACTTCCAATGTGGTCGTTATACTGCGCCTTCCCCATGTGGTGTGGCTCGATAGAATTTGGTTTCCCAAAATCCAAGCGATAAACATCCTGCTAGGCAACTTGTTGATTGGAATAGGATGTTTATCGCTTCGTTTCGACCAAGCAAAGAAGCCTATGAGCTCGGCATCCCGAATTCTCATGAAAAATTCTGAATTCGGAAGAACTGGGGTACGGCATCTGAGCGAAGAAAGCGAAGAGCGAACCAAGGTGTGGGAGGCATTAAGTGAGGTTATCAAAAACGAGGCTGACCAGCAATTGCTGAGGCAAAGCCCGAAGGTGAAGGTCCAGGAGGCTATGAAAACCAAACGAAAAGTTCAAAATCAACGAATGTTCCTCTGAAGAGCGGATGGAGTTGTGGTCTCTCGAGCAACCACCTCAGTTCGAAGCCCCATTTATAGACATTTAGAGTTTTTTCCTATTCNCGATTTTTTTGAATTTCCAGGAGTAACATTTTCCACAAAAAAAGTAAAATTGTGTAAAAAAAAGATAGAGGAAGAAAGAAAAAAGGCTAGGCATATAACCGCATTTACCTTCTCTCTAATTATCGATTACTAGCCCGGTCGAACGAAGAAACCATACCGTATGAACGTTCGATACGGTAGCATCGCGTAGATCGGCTTAACCTGAAGTTTGTAGGAAAGCGTGAAAAAGTCTAAAGTTGGGAGCCCATTATGAAATATTTTTAGGTCATTTTTTGGGGAATGCTGGGGATTTATCGGAGCGTGAAGGTTTGATTTCGAGAGCCCCCCACTGATCGTAGTGTTTTTTACGCAGGCATGTGAATCCATGTTATGCCCAGCTATCCTAAAAAGCAAATTCTACTCAAAACACATTAAAATGGCTATGTAACAAAATCATTTTCAGGGAAAGTAGTCGTGGGAAGGGAATGATACATTGGGAAAAGGTTTGGGCGACCCACTTATTGTTCCAGAACAAAAGGACAGTCAAAAATCTTTTTTTCGATATTTATGAAAGCTCTTCCTCTGGATCTTCCTGCTTCTCAAGGCATAAGCGTATTTCGCAGTCTGAGCGATTTTGTGCTACAGTAACCGTGCGCAGGGAAATGTCAAAGGTTGCACTCTAAGGAAACCCTCCACATATACGACGCAGTGAAAAAACTCCTGGGCATCCACTATAGTGTGGGTGCTAAGGTCACTTTGAAAAGGATAAGCTCGAATTACTGTAGCACGAAATACTGATGGCTTTGGGTTCCTTCTAATTGACGGTCTGGTAGCTTCGATCCGTCTACAGTAGTAATGGTCATAATTGCTTGATGAGTATCGGGGTCATCGAAAGCGGTGGGATGTTAGTGATTCCTTGCGATGGACATGAGTTATTTTACGATTGATACTAGTATGGCGACGAGTGGGAATATGGGTATGGGAGCGAGAAATCGGGACGCAGGCAATTCCTACCGTAATCTCACTTTCATTTCCTATCAATTCCAATAGTAAAATCGGAAGTATTACTCGAAAGCTAATTGCAGGTAACCTTCATTACATTACCAGGCCTTTGTTTCAAGTACTACTTCACACCTAGCATTACGGTAGGCTTTGGGCGAGTGCAGAATTTGTGTTCATCCCACGCTCTTCATCTTCCGACTCCCAGACGGACGATATGTCTGGGGATCTGCTATGGCTAGGAATCCCATATCCTTCCCAGGAGCAGTGCAATCTTACAAGACTTTTTATCAGGGATTCATTTGTGTGGGGCAAAAGACAGCTGGGGCGAATGGCCTTCACTGACCCAACACCGTTCGGGTTCTATCGATTGCGTGTAAGATACCACTCCACCACACAACACACACACCCGGGCGCCGCCCCCTCCGCCATCCGTTTGCTTCCCCAGAGCTGTTCAGGCTAATCATTTTATTCATTTTTATCTTTATTCATATCCTTACATTCCAAAATACTCGTTTTATCGATTCGCATCTGTTTCCGAACTAAAAGTTTTTACGTCCCTTGTTTATGTTTGTTTGGCAGTTGTTACGACGTCCTTCACAGGAGTTCGTGACTTTTTCAGCATGAATGTAAACAAACAAATAATTTCAAAATGATAAACGGTTTTAGCGAAAAAAATATCAGCTCAATCAAAGTTATTGAACTTCTCCTTTTTTCTTCCTTCCACCAGGAGTTTTTTTTTGTTTTTTTTTCGCCACATTCGTTTTTAATGGGCTAATTGTTGTTTTGTTTTTTTTGTTTTGATTTTATGTTACAACTTCAAAGTACCGTCAATTTTTTTTCTCTTTAGTTTTCATAGTTTCATTCTTTTTTTTTGCATGTGGTCACTACCATATGAAAAAACAAATGAATAAAAAAAATCAATTTTGAAAACTTTTGCGGATATGGATTTACATTTTTTACGTTTTGTTTTCCTCATTGACAATCATGTTTATGCCTTCTGTTTATCACCTGTTTTCTTCTTTGATTTCAATGAAAGTGATGATAAGCTGGCTCCTAGTGCTTCTGTCCAAACTCGATCTTTGATCCGCCTGCTGACATCCTTTTAAATTCAATTTCTTTAAACGTTTTGTTTATTGTGTATGTTTATTGCTTTTTCATTTAGACTCATTTATTTTTGGGATTTTTTTTCCAATTTGATGTTGATTGATTATTCCCAATCCTTTTTCTGAAAAAGGTTCACGTGGAAAATAAACAAAAGTCTTTTTCCATCAAACTCATCTCTCATCTACACCTGTATTGATTGCGTTGTATGTTGACGGCGTCGCTTGTTTTTCTGCCGCCTCCGCCTGTCTATTTTCCCTTTGTTTTTTTCCGAAAAAAAAAGTTTTTCCCTTGAGCTCTTTGTTGTTGTCAAGTTCGCAAAGCTTTTCTTCTGTTCCTGGTTTTTATAGCGTTGTCCATCTGCTCGGTTTTAATCCTGTGACGTCGGTTTTTTTGTCGTTCTGCCAAGGTCTTACGTCAAATTTAATATGATGGCGTTATAGACCGACCGCGTCAACGGGGTTCGGTGGCGTTTGGCACTCATGGACCGGCTTAGCCCAATATCAACGGATTCCGGGTTTGAGTCATGTTGCTGTCCATCGAGTCCAACCACATCATCTTCTAGTGCCAAGGTTCGTAGATATTTTTACCATTTTCCTGCCTTTTTCCTTTTTCGTCGTTTTTTCTTTGTCGATCGCTTGATATTGGTAGTGAGGCGGTTTTTTCATATGAAGTTTGTTTGAAATGTTTTTAACGAAAGTTCTGACAAAAAACTCAATGGCGGCATAAATAGTGGTTTGCTCTTTCCGGTCCTCATTTTCAAACCTAGTTTGAATCTAATTACTTCAAAAATGATTAGGTTATACATGAATTTTGAGGAGGTTCTGTTTGCTATGCCCTCAGTGATTTACACTATCGATCGAATTCATAGCAAATGTGATTTTCTCGCGCATGAACTTTTTATATTGTAATTTGTATTGTATATTGTTCCGAAAATTTGTAAAGGCTCCATTCAACTTTCTTAGCTAATAACAACAGTAGAAATGTTGATTTAATGCTAAAGATATTTGTAGCGAAGGCGTGTCAATTCTTCTGTTGTCCTTTTGACTACGGTTGCGTCTCGTTAACCGTTTCATTGTTTTCTTATCATTATTCCGAGAATCTGGTGATGTGGGCTTTTAGAATGATTGCTTAAAAGTACGGATTTTTGTTTTTGAGTACGTGATACCGGCAAAAAACACAAGCTCCATGTCGAGAGTGAGACTTCTCTACAGATTATAGGATTAACCTCTCCTTAGGGCGGAACTCGAATCTACAACATAGTTTGTGTTCTTCGGTTGAATGGGTGACGTAATGGTGGAATGGATGGAGATGGAATGATGGGGAAACTATGATAATAATCGGGTCAATAGTTATGGTCATGATAGCACTTCGCGATACCTATAGGTCGAGGCAGGGATGACGCTCAACAGTGGGAAAAAGGAGCAGAGGTAGAGAATATTTACACGAGAATAGGTTTATTTTCTTTTTGTGTTACCCTCTAGTCAGAGAATCCTCTTCATCTGTCTTGATCAGTTTGGATCATACGAGAAATTCTGGGTTGGTGTTCTTGAAGATAGTTGAGTATTAGAATTTTCTAGCCGTTCTTGTTTATGAGTATCAGAATTTTTTAGTCGTTCTCGTTTATAACAATTTCGGCACTACAAAAGAAATTATGAACCTAATCCGTAGGCGTGCTGTATTGACATTGCAAGCGCAATCGCGGAAGTTTGAATAGGTTGTGGGCGACGTGCGGAGGACTCCGCTAATACCTGCACTTTGGACTCGATCCCCACTTAATGAATGTGTAATCGCAGGCTATAATGGCTACTAAGTTGTCTGATAGGCGTTCTTTGCTTGATGATGACCGTGGATGCAATTAGTAAGGTAGCTATTGTTGCACAGCTGCCCGCTATCCGGTATCGTCATGCCGGTATTATTTACATTCATAGGGGAAATCGGTTTGGATTGTGTTGATTGGTTGATTCTATGCATCATGTTTGAAATTACAGTTCGTCCGTTCTACATGTGTCACGTCACCCCCTTCCTCTTCCACAGCCGTCGTATGTCAGCCTGCCACTGATGCTCATAATGTCATTTGTGACTTAACACCGTCAAGCAGTGAAATATCGCTTTATCGCGAGGCAAGTTATACAGCTACCACCCTCCTTATATATTTTATTTATTGGCTTACTTTTCCAGGATTCCGTTTCTCTAGACTCAGCATCGACATCCTCTCAGAACAACGATTGCTCTTCGAATTGCGTTGCTTGCACTTCGACTAGCTGTCAAACCTCCGATTATAATGGTCAGAGAATATTTAGAATTATGATTTTATTTTTCATTCTATTCATCTACACAAGTATGTTGAGACGTTTACTTTTCAGAATCCACTTGCTCTGAGATCAAAACGGGTCTCGTTGATGGCGGTACAGTTAGGTATCATTGTTTATGGAGTGGTTGCGAGAGTATTTTCGAGACGGCTGATTATCTTTATGATCATGTCACTGAAGTAGGCTATTCAATATGTCCTCCATTAATTTAATGTTAATTCTCAGCCAACTGTGCTTACAAACGATCTTTCTAGCCAATTTAATTTTTGATTTTAGCTTCATATCACCGTTTTACGGGATTTGCCACCTAAACCTTCAAAGTCTAAGCAGCAAGAACAAGAAGATGATGAACCCATCAGATGTCATTGGGATGACTGCGCAATGTTTCTCCGACGAGGAGATCAGCAGAAGAAAGTGAGAGTAACTTGCTTTTGACGTTTTTCCTGGATTCCTTATAATGAGTCGTTTCCGTTTTAGTGCGACCATTTTTTGCTTGTGTTTTTAGTTAATGTTTTCAATTATTGAGTAGTTAAGATACCCTTATTTCTGAGTAGTTAAGATACCCTAATTTCTCTTTCTTGTTTATCTACTTGTTTTCCTTCATTCAAATAGAAATTTGGTAGCGATGGTGCCGTCACCTGTCATTGTGGGACCTTTTTTTGCATAACCATCCGCCGATAACCGTTCCCGTATAATTGTGCCTTTTATAGGTATTCCTGCTCCCGCAGCGCTCACCCATTGCTTTCGTGTTGCGAATTGAATGTGGTGTTTATGCGAAATTCAACTAATGTATTCAATGTTCTGCGCATAGTTTTGCTTTCAAGATCATGTGTCGTAAAACTTAGCATACTAAAAAGGAAACGCTGTTACAGCAACGCGCAGCAACCTCGACTGGCGGTAATTGCTGTATTCTCAAGTAGATGAACGCTTTGGTCTCTAACTCATCTTTCCCAAAGAATTAGATAGATCATAAGGAAAACTGTACGTTAGGATCAAATAAAGACTTTGCGTTTGCTCTAACTTTTTACGTTAGGTTAAGGTAGCAATGTCCGTATGGGGTAGTGCTAATGAAGCACTTTTACATGAGTTGGGAATCAGATTCCAAACCGATACTGGTGTAGCCATCCAAGCCTTCCATCATTTCTCTTGCGTCAATTCATTAGTACCACATTCGTCCGAGAGGATAAAACAGTTAGTTGGAAATCGTCTGGCCCCTTAAAGCGAGTAAATACCGAACGCCGCAGAAGACGCGTAGTAGACAAGAATTGGAAATGGAATACCTGTGCATCCTGAAACGGCCGGTAACGCCTCTCATCTTGACTTTAGAGAAGTGTTGAATTTCTATCACGAAATAGTATTAATTTGAGATAAAATGAAATTTCTAGAATATTTTTTGATGGCGATCTGGCCATACATAGGCTGAACGACATATTATTTGTCAACTGTGTAGTTATCTAACTTGAGCAGCTATACGTCCACATGATTATGATATTTTGATGTTCATAGTTTTGTGGCCATCACGTCGTTGCATCGAAAATTCCTCTGCTTCAATATGTTTACTCCACTTCGTTATATAATTCACGCTGTTTGCGATTACTCGTCTTTGAAAAGATGACGAATATAGGCTTTCATGCTCCTATCTTCAGGACCACGACTTAAAATAGTACTGATGTCACGAGCTTAGAGTTTTGGTAGATTTAATGGTTATCTGCACATTTTACAGAAGTTACTTGTTATAGGTGTGCTGGCTCGTAGATCATTATCGAACTCGTCATGCCCGATGTGCTAATCCTTTTCATTGCGTTATTGAAGGATGTCAGATGCGTTTTTCAACAACGTATAGGTTGGAGGAACATGTTCGTCTCGAACATATCAATCCGCCCAAGCCAGGTGATTTATTTTCCATGACATGCTCCGTAGATTGTGATCAGTTGTTTACGAAGTATGAACGAGCTTTGTTTCAATAAATGACTTCTGTTCGCTGAATTGGGAGCACTCGATGTCAGTGCTTTTGACTTTCCGGCATTTTTGTTTGATTGACCATGAAAAGAAAGGATGAATTGACCAACTCGCCATACATATTTTGATGTTCTTAGCAAAAATCGGAGTCAATCCTGAGGGGGATAGCAGGACTGTTAGCAGAGATTTTGAAAAATTAGAATGTTTTACAGGATTTTAATCTCTATCCGATTTTTCATTCTAGTCAAAGAAACTCCGGTCGTTGTGAAGAGGGAGAGCTGCTACGGTTGGCGGCCACGAGTGTACTATCCAGTTCGTAAGTTTTTCATTCGTTGCCTTTCCTGGACATCAGATTTTTTTTGATTTTTTTATCTTTTGAAATGTAGTGCTCAAGGAGTGTGCAATGTCCGATATGTAGAAGACATTGAGCTTTTTTGAGTTTTTTGGGTTGTTCTTGGGTTTTCAGTCCTAGGATCTAGGATTTGAGTGTTTTTGTGCCTGTTACTCCACTCTATCCCTCTTGCGAATATAGCGTTATTTTTTAGGCCCTCGTCCGACAATATACTGCCCTCATTTCGATGAAAGGCTTTTAAAGTGTGTTCGCATGATGAATAAGCATAATTTCAACGTCGCTTTTTCTCCTATCGACTTCCATAGTGATCTGAGAGGCTCTAAGCGAAGGAAGTGTCGATTTCGTCATGCTTATCGAATAGAGCCTTTGAGTTCAGTGCCGCCAAAGCTGACAAAACAAGAAGCGGTGAGTGTTTTTTTTCTGTATTTTTTCAGATTTTTTTGCACTAATGGTTCCGCTTCTCCTTTTTATGCAGCTATATTTCCTCAAACACATCGTGACTTTTACGAGTTCCTCATTTTTCAGAAAGGAAATGAAAGTTCATAGAATAAGATTTATCGATCGTTGTTGGTAGCTTAGTCCCAGCTAACCCTTCAGTCCCTTTTATCCTTCCAACATGGGAACAATCTCTGTTTTTTGGAGTGTAGTTGGGTGTACCATGACGCCAATGAAAGGCTGCAAGGTCTTCTAGAAGAAAACGATCTTTTCAAGAAACAAAGTAATAGTATGGGGTTCTACACCGTATCACTTCAAATTTGAAAAGAATTCCACTTTCAATTAGTCGACATTGGAAATGGTAGGACCTGTCTTTCCCAGTCTCATGTCTTTCCTTTTCAATTAATTGAAAATCGGCCCTCCCCTTTTCGACCGCTCACACGTATGTATACCATGTAATGTGAAAGAAAAAGCTTGAGGGTTTTGACTTTTTGCCTGCGGCAACGGATGGCTTACCTAAAAAAAAAACCTAGAAACAATCAGGGTCTCACCATGCCGACCGAAATAAAAAAATGAATTTTTCGGCCTGTCGAACTTGAATATTGTGAGGGAAATGGGGTGTTTAAAAAGTGTGGTTTTATGCGTGACAAATCTGAATTCCTGTCCTTAATAAAATGGCTTTCATTTACTGTGTGAATAAAGTGTCAGAGCATTCCCTTTTTCAGACTGCCTCATATGACGTAGAAAAGTTAAGAAAAGTGTCTATCTTCGATCTATTCCCTCCTGTAGAGACACCGCTTCCAACGGATGTGTCTCCTACCGAAGAAATGACTGTCTGAATGTGGAGAAAGTCAAAGTATTTTGATCTCGCTGGGGTTCGGGATCGCACTATGCATCAGTTTGAATTGTTTATCTAATTAACAAGTTGATAGGTGTGGGATGAAATGCGTAAGGATTCCAGTTGAAAATTTATTTTTCGTTCATGAAAAGCAACTTCGAAAAGTTTCAACATTCTGTCATAATTCTTTGATATATTAATTGGGCATTAGTGTTCGAATCCGTTATCGAATTGGGATCATTGCGCCGTACATCCCAAGTGTACTTATGGAATCTCAATGATTGCTCTGAGTCACAAGAAAACCAATTCTTTCTCATGGTCTCTTTCATTAGCGCTTCATTGTATCTCACCTCCGGGTATTGTCATCTTGACTTCAAACATTTCCTTTCGTAATGTTCTCCTGCCTTGAAGTGCTCAGGACTGCCAGTTGACATATGTTTGTCTCGTATTTCTAACACTATTACATTTTTATTGTAGTGTAACTTATGTTGTTGTCTATGTTTTATTCTAGTGATAATTGTCCTCTCCTCTTTCAGTTCAGAGCTGAAACTACGCTCAAGTGTTCTACGTTGATGATTGATGTTAATGTAATATGTGGTTTGTTGAAATGTAATGAAAAATTGTCAGTTTGTGAGGGACTATTCACATACAAATCACTTTTTGTCGTTGGGAATCCAAGCCAGCCAGCTTTCTTATTTCCGGATCAGCCGGAGAAGGAGGCTCGAGCATGTAGTCATCACAAATACAAATTCATGGTAAATACAAATGTAAGAGATGAAAGATTAATGTTTTTCGGAGTTTGACGTAGCCTGAATGAGCCTTACAACACCCGTGAGCCTATTTTGACGATTTAAAAAAAAANNAAAAAAAACAGCTTGGACTGGATCTGACTACAGGGATCTGGTATTTGCGCCAAAACCAGCTGACCGAATGAATTTTACAGGAGCTACCTCAACGACAACCTGACAGAGCAAAATGAATGATAGGTATCTATGGCCTCTAGGGCCCTAGGAAGACAACGGGGCCGGAACTTGAGCCGAATTGGCTATAGCTTCACAGTCATACCCGGGATATATAGGAATAACCTTGAACTCACTTTTATGCCCCTTATTTTAATTGTTTAAATATTCCTTTAATTGTTAGTTTAATATTATAGGAATTGCTATGTTCTTATCGCAGACTGTCGTTTGGTGTTTGCCCTTTGTGCGGGAAACGTGCTTCGGACTATGTAAAATATGTATGTGGGAAGTACAAGTACGCAGCCATCACTGGTGCAAACATATAGGCCTTATGGTTAGATCAACTGTTGAGTGTTGCCACCCTAATCCACATCTCTAAGTGGGAATAAACAAACAAACTCGAGGCATATACCACAATGGACTTTCTCTTAATCTTGGCATGGCCTTTGACTGGAATGTATGTAGATTTGCTTCAGCCTTTCCAAGTTTTTAAACTTGATAGGGCTAGTAGCGTTTCGGCGAGTTCGCCTTCGTCAGAGCCGGAAAAGTCGAAAAAAACCATTGAGACTGACTCTATAATAAGGCTATAAACCCAAGACAGTTCTTTGGACTAGAGACTCCTCGAATCCGCTATACAAGAGGCCTACCTTGATCAAAATCGCCGAAGCGTTGGATCGACCACCAGGTGTTTACAGTATGCGTACAATGAGCAAGCCTTCCTCCTTTCCTTTCTTGCGTACAATGAGCATGAGCAGGTCAGAAAGGAGGAAGGCTTGCTCATTGTACGCATACTGTAAACACCGGGTGGTCGATCTAACGCTTTGGCGATTTATAATAGATCAAGGTAAGCCTCTTGTATACCGGGTTCGAGGAGTCTCTAGTCTAAAGAACTGTCTTGGGTTTATATCGCCTTATTATAGAGTCAGTCTCAACGTTTTTTTCGACTTTTTGGGCTCCTACGAAGGCGAACTCGCCGAACTGTTAGCCCTATAAAGTTTAAAATCTTGGAAAGGCTGAAGCAAATGTATATACAAACTCGTGGCAATTTGCCTCTCTATTCCCACTTGCTGGATGACGATCTGTGGGATTCTCATAGTAGTATATGTTGTTCATTACTAGTATTTAGTTATTCTATTCGACGGCATTATGTTGGTCATGTACAGCTACATATTAATGTCTCGCCCATGAGAGAATCGCATGCTTATTGTGAACGATTACGGTAACCAACGACGACGACGGCGAGGACGACGTGACCGCCCCGGCCCTACTGATAAACAACGATTGTGAGGTCCATTAAATGGATATTAAACAACAAAAAGCAAATCAAAGAATAGAAAAGGAGCAAATGAACCTTCCATCACTGATTAACTCCCAAGCCACCGTCCTTCTTACCTTATCGTACTGGTTGCTCCTCAAACATGTTGTCTGATTGAAATATCAAGGGTAAATACCCATATCAATGCCAAAGTGCACGTCAACATTTACATTGAAAACACATTCCATTATGGCTTGGACACGTGCTATGACACTCAAGAATGGGAGCGATAGGGCTACCTGGCCCACAGATGAAGATGGAGTGAAAAGGGCCGGAACACCGGGAAAAAGAGTTGTGGTTTCCGTTGATGGCTTCCTTTTGTGCCCTGGTAGACCACGATTATGTGAATTTGGGTTTCATTTTTTTGTAGATGTGAATTCTGAGTTAATGCTAGTTTTCATATTTACTGAAAATCTGGTTTCCTCTGACTTGCATAGGTCCACTCGAAGACCGTCGTTCCTGTGAAGTTTCCTGAGGTCCTTCTGATTTTTAGGGCCCGGTACTCCAAATGCGAGTTTTGTTTTCACCAAGAACTCGACATATTGACTTACTCTTCTAACCCGTGAGTACTTCTCAGTATGTTGTTGATAAAACCTGCCCTCAGCGCAAAATGTGTCTTTGAATACTGGTTGGTCTCCTTGATTTGAACAGCAGGACATCGATTGAATTGTCGGCATGTTTGTTTGTAATGTTTCTATGTTGTCTTAAGTGTTTTTCGGTTAGACGATTCAGCTAATTCGATGTCCCAAAACTTCGACTCGATCATCCTTTCGGAAGGCTAGGATTCCGCCGTGAACAAGAAAAAGACCTCCGTCATTTGCTTATGAATGTGACATCGGTTTTTTCGTCTCCAATGGAACCTGACCTCGAAGAAGGCAATCGAGGATTATCGAAGGGATTATGATCCTACAACTTCACCGGACGCCATAACATCAGCAAAATGAGTTGATCACGTATTTTTCATTTTAATTTTATGAAAATGGCAGAAATCACGTCAGAGAACTGTCTTAAGATTTCATCTCTTAGGCAGATAATGGGATTATCCAAACACGAAATAGTGGGCCTGTTAATGGGATGAGTATGTAGAAGCGAGAAAATCGGTCCTGAACTGCTCTCACCGACAGTAGTTGAATTACAGAAGGAATTTTCAGTGGAAGAATACATACATAATAGGGTTTTCCGATATAGTTCGGGCATGTTTCGAGGACTTTCACTGAAACGAGTTCACCATTGCGAATTGCCTGATAGTTGCTGGTAGTACATAGCCTTTTCGTGGTAGTAAGCTGAAGGCAAATTTCATTTTTTTACTGCTTTTTACTACTCCATTAATTTTGAGCCTTCTCGATAGCTTGAATTCTGCACTCCCACTGAATGCTAGCAACATCAAGAATACGCCATGAAGGCCTAGTGTTGTTTTGTACACTAAGTAAACAAATAAATCTATGTATATTCTTCAGATGCAATATTAGCTCAGAAGTACGCAAAGGGCGTGATATCGGTTAGTGGCAATAGCTTGACAACAAGATCAGGACAGGAGAGATAGAGGGCTCTCACCGGGCTGCCGGAAGTCCTCTTTTACCTGGTCATTTTTGACCAGGAAACTTCCAAGCACATAACGCTGGGTTCACAGCTCCCTGTGCAGAATGGCATATTGCTTACCTTCTTCAAGTACCCCTTTTTCGTGCCTGATATGTATTTTGCTGAGAGTAGGCGCTGTGCTATAAGACGAGTTTCCATTCGCATGTTCCTGAAATCGGATTCCAAATATAGATACCCCCTCAGGGCGACTAGTGTTAGCCTTATCACTTGATTGCTTACTACCAGACCTGTTTGGGAGAATAAAAGCACTTACTTGGATATCGAAAGACCACTGCTTTTATCCTCCCAGATGGGTCTGGTGGTACTATCTGTTTCACATACCCTTCCAAAACGTCCCTACGATTTTGAATGCAAGGTAATTTCAACGTGCGTTCCAGGAAGTGTTCCAGTAGTGACCAATGTCAAAAGATCCAATAAATTGCCCTCTCACTGATGAAATTGTCATTCTGCGGGTGGGTGCTACTCATTATATTATATCCCAGATGAGAAGGGTCATAATTTTGGTGGGGGAGAAAATTTCCAGTGCTCTGTCGGATCAGCCATTTCTCTTATCTGATAAACTAGGGAGATATTGTTAGTTCCTGGGACCGAGAATGTTTTTTGGGTTATCACGCGGATCAAGCTCATGATCCAGCTAGCTGCAAAAGCTAGACTAGCTTTTCCAGAGCTACTTACAAGAGTGCAGAAGACTTAAGAGCTTGTCAGCCTCCTCGAAAAGGCTGCTCCGAGCAATATTCGCTTTTAATTATGTTAATAGAGACTTATGAAACTTTTAGAAGGAGTGTCTCGTGTAGGATATCCGATTAATACATCATAAGTGGCCAACAACCAGCTAATGCAGGGATAAAAGCATTCCTAAACAGCTCGATCTTTGGTGCTATTGCTATGTAGTTTCGCATAAGTGTTATGTGATGGGCTGTAGGGGACAAATGCGAAGCCGAACTTCATTGAACCGACTGTAGTAGTTGCTGAAGATTCTACGCTGTAGGCGTAATGCATAGAAGCGGTATATATTCCAGGGCACACGAGAAACCAACGCTTTGCAGAATTTCAACAGTACCAGTGCTTGTCAGAACTGACCTGAGTGTATGGCTGCCTCTATCACAATCAAGCATCGGCTTGGGATCT